GCTGGTATGTTCAAAGTACTGATTTTTGAGTTAGCAGCACAACACTTAAGCCATAATGTCATTCCAAGTGTCCTAGAACATTTGCATTTTAAGGAGTTGCTTTTTAATGATCTTGAAAAAATGATCTCTAGTGATGAAAATGCATATGAAATGGTAGCACTGGTATTACTTTGTTGTTGTTGTTGTTAAGTGCCGTTGAGTCGGTTCCGACCCATAGCGACCCTGTACAGGGTTTCCGAGGGTGTAAATCCTTACGGGAGTAGAAAGCCTCATCTTTCTCCCGCGAAGCGGCTGGTAGTTTCAAACAGCTGACCTTAAGGTTCGCAGCCTCTGGTAGCGTAGTGGTTACGAATCGGGCTGCGAACCTTAAGGTCAGCGGTTCGAAACTACCAGCCGCTCCGCGGGAGAAAGATGAGGCTTTCTACTCCCGTAAAGATTTACACCCTCGGAAACCCTGTACAGGGTCGCTATGGGTCGGACCCGACTCGATGGCACTTAACAACAACAACAACAACAACACTACCAGAGCTCCCTTAAGTAAACTAGGCTCTGAATCTGGGAAGAGGCCAGAAAGTAACAGACATTTTAAAAGAAGGTAGAAGAATTTCAGAACAGTAGTCCTGAAAGGGCTTTGAAAATAGAGGAGTTATTTCTGTTGGCAATTATTTTTTAACTCCTTCATATTATATTATCCTCTTGCGATTATAAACTAAAGCTATGAGACTCTTGCAGTAACCAAATTTGTTTTACATTGTTTGAGCCAGTTGTGTTTTAAATAAGACTAACATTTCTTAGAATGTTTTAGCTTTACTAATAGTATTCTCTCTAGTGCATGTCTCAGACACCCTACAGACAAATGTGTAATGGGTTTCTTTTTGTTTTCTAAGAAATTTAGATGCTATGCCGCTCACCTGAAAAAAAATAGCAGACTGTATCTACTACTTGCCATTTCTAAATATTTTTATCTGAATTTTTATCTACACTTTTATTTCTACCATCCATCCATTACTTTGTTATACTGTAGGAACTTTCCTGTTGCGGTAATGCTGGAAACGATACTACTGGTATTTCTTATACAGTAGGGTAAACCATGGTAGACAACTTTCAGTGCAGCATCTATACTAAGATAGACTCAAAAAGAGGCCTGGTGGTCTACTTATGAAATGTAGCCTGTTAAAATCCTATGAATTATGACAGAACATTGTACAACTGACTTGTTTTGAACATTTCATCAGTAGGGACCTATTGGTAGAGGAAGGCATCATATTTGGTAAAGTAGACAGCCAATGATGGCATGGCTCAGTGAGATGAACTGGCACAACAGCTTAATTTATGAGCTCAAACATACCAGTGGTCATGGCTATGATATAGGACCGGGTAATGTTTTCTTCTGTGTTACATAAGGCCATCATGAATCAGAATTCATGAAAGCTAACAAAGAAGCATCAAACCAATAATCAAATGCAATGCCATGAGTTGATTCGGACTCATAGTGACATTATATAGGATTTCTGAGACTGAAATTTTTATTGCAACAGACAACATTATCTTTCTTCCGTGGACTGGGGTGATTTAATGGTTGTGGATTTGAGCCACTGACCTTGTAGTTAACAACCCAATACCTAATCCACAGTTCCACCAATGCTCCTTGATAAACAAACATATAAGTCTTTTATTTTAATGTTTGGTTTCTCAGGAATTTGGTTTTGTAAGGCTACAGTAAAAATATCCATAAATCTTCTGCTCATTCAAGGCATTTTTCTATTGTTTTTGCTTGATTTTTCTTTTGCATCTGAGTAATGAATAATGATGCTTTCTAAAGGAACTAATAGTCTAAATTCAATGAAAATATGAATCACTGATATAGTCTAGTCAGATGCAATTGTAACACTATAATTAATTTTGAAGGATTTCACATTTTAAAACAGAATAATGAAAACACAGAGTCTCTACTCTTCTTTCTTTCATAAAGTTGTTTGCTAATTTAGTATGAACTTTTCTTTGACTAAAGAATGATTTGCTAAAATAAAAAAGAAATATGGAGATTAATGAGTTGTTTCTATAAAACCAAGTTATTTTCAAAGTCTTTATTTGAAAAAAAAAAAAGAAGCATCTTCTTGGAAACAATTAGTCCAATGGATGAATAGAACATACAAACATCTGTCATCAGAGGCTGAGACCAAACGAATTAGAGGGTGCCTGGCTTTGAAAGGGATTGAATTAGAAGATATGGGATTTGTTGTTGTTAAGTGTTGTTGAGTTGGTTCCAAATCATAGAAACCCCGTGTAATATAGAATGAAACCCAGTCGGGTTCTGTGTCATCTTCCCAATTGCTGCTACGCTTCAGCCCACTGTTATTGCTAATGTGACAATCCATCTCGTTGGGAGTCTCCCTCTTTTCACTGTCCCTCCACTGTACCAAGCATGATTGGTCATTCCTAATAATAAGTCCAAAGTATGAGAGAGGAAGTCTGGCCATCTGGGCTTTTATGGAGCATTATGGTTGTACTTCTTCCAACACAGATTGGTTTGTTCTTTTGGCAGTCCATGGTACCTTTATTATTTGTTTCCAACATCATAACTCAAATGCATCAATTCTACCTCAGTCTTTCGTATTCCACTTTCTTATCCCAACTTTCACATGCATACGAGGCTATTGAAAATACCATGACATGGCTCAGGCACACTTTAGTCCTCACACTGATATCTTTGCTTTCAACACTTTAAAGAGGTCTCATGCAGCAGATTTGCCTAATGCAATACATTGTTTGATTTCTTGACTGCTGCTTCCATAAATGCTGATAAGAGAGCCAAGCAAAATGAAATCTTTGACTACCTCAGTCCTTTCTCCATTTACCAACATATTGGTATTGGTCCATTGGTGAGGATTTTTGTTTTCTTTACATTGAGATGCAACCCATACTGAAGGGTTTAGTCTTTGATCTTCATCAGTAAGTATTTTAAGTCCTCTTTGTTTTCAGAAAGAAAGGTTGTATCATCTGTATGTCACAAATTAATGAGTCTTTCTCCAATCCTGATGCCATGTTTTTCTTCATACAATCCAGCTTCTCAGATTATTTACCCAACATATAGATTGAATAAGGATGGTGAAAGAATACATCCCTGGTACACACCTTTCCTCATTTTAAATCATGGTACTATTCAGCATGTTCAATATTCAGTATTCTGGTGCTATATGACAGTGTTTCAGTATCATAACATTTTTAGTGGCTAAACATTCACAAGCAATCTACTTATCTTTCTTCCAAGTCTGTCTTAGTCTGGAAACTCAGCTGAAATCTGTTCACCACGGAGGATCCTGCTGACATTCAAAGCATCGGTGGCATAGCTTCTAGCATCACAGCAACATGCAAGCACCACAGTGTGACAAACTGAAACATAACTGGAGGTATGTGATTAGAGTGAGAGAAAATAAGGCACAAAACACAAAACCATAAAAAAGACAAGGCTTACTGGTCAGAAAATGACCAGAGGACCCCCGAGACCGTGGCCCTTGGTCACCTTTCATACCTGAGCTGAACTCATCCTTGTCGTTCAATTTTCAGCCAAGTAGAAGACGGTATATAAGGGGAACAACAACACTAGTGAGGTATACACACATGGAATGGTCAACTATTAGAGATCAAACAGTCAACATTTGCCTAAGGACAAACTTCAGAAGGGCTGGGAAAGGAGGAAGAATGGAAATAAGAATCACAGAGAAGAATTGGATAAATGATGGTACATTGAGGGAATTGGAGTCATTGAGATGAACTGAAATATATGATTTGTTCTATGTAAGACTGATGATCTACTATGTAAACCTTCACTCATGATAAAAAGTTAAAAAATAAATGAATCATCTTTTATTCTGATTATAAAAGTAGTGAATGTTGTAAAAAAAATAGGTAAATAAATGAAATATAGGTCACAGTCCATTTTAGATGAAAATTCTATCTTAGTAACTAATTTTAACAGCTTGTTTTGAGAATGTTTTTACTCATACATGCATATGTTATTGTTGTTAACTGGCATAGAGTCTGTTCAGCTTATAGAGACCTTGTATAGGGTTCCTAAGGCTGTAAATCTTTGTGGGAGCAGAAAGTCTCATCTTTCTCCTGAAGGGTGGCAAGTGGGCTTGAGCTGCTGATTTGTTGGTTCAGACTATAGTGCTTGTCTTATAGAGGCGCCATGCTCCCATACATACATACATACATACATACATACATACATATGTTGTTGTTAAGTGCCATCCAGTCAGTCCCAGCTCATAGCAACCTTATATAGGGTTTCTGGGGGGCGGGGAAGGCTGGTAGGTTTGAACTACTGATCTTGAGTTTCGTAGTCCAGTACTTATCCAACAGTGCCACATCAGATGCTCATGGGAGGAAGATGAGACTTTCTGTTCTCTGGAAGATTTAAATCCTCAAAAACCCTATACAAGGTTGATAGGATCAAACTAACTCTGCAGCACTTAACAACAGCAACATAAGCAATATATGGATGCTTCAAAAATTTTGTGGAAAATTCCATAATCTTTTTAGTCAGTTTTTCCGCAAACTTTTTGAATCCCTCTCATATGTGCATATATATGATATGTCACTTAACTGCTGATGAGCAATATCCAATCATATTTAATTCCATGATCCCATAAAATTTTAACAGTTTAGAAAGCTAATGTGGCAGTACTTTGCTAAGTAGGGAGACCCAATCATTCTCCCACTAACTCTCCATGTTGTTGTGTAAACTCTGGCCCTGTCGAAGCAGTAGGTAGAGGTCCTGGAGCTCTTTGAGGCTCAGCTGAGGTAGGGACTAAGCAGATGCTATTGAGCAGGATACAAGGCTACTGACCATTTTAGCTCCAGTGTCTGGTGTGTCAAACCCTGTGCTCATGCCTCCTCCCACACTTTAATGGTGAGTGGGCACAGTCTAACGGTCAGGGCTGCTGCAGAGGTGGGTAAAGGAACAGGAAAGACAGTTGGTGGAAGAGGAGGAGTGAATGGAACTGGAAGAGTTTAAAGCCTATTGCAGTGGTAAGGGTGGTGTAGGGGAGAGTGAAGCAGGCAGAAAGGAAGGTCAAGGAGTTGGTGGCATTTGTGGAAGTAGCAGGCTAGATGGCAAGTGTGCACCTGCTGATGTTCTAGAAGCAGGGCCAGCCAGGCCTGAGCCAGTTTCATGCATTCTCAAACTAGATGATAGTGGTACAGGCCCCTGGCCTGATGGGTGACCATCCTGAGAACCTCTCCAGAATATAATATGGTGTACTACAGTGTCTAGATCACAGAATGTCAATATGGATTGCACATCAACATAAAGAAAACAGAAATCCTCATAACTGATTTTTCCTTCCTTCTTTTCCCCTCTACCAATAAGTAATGTCATGATAAACAGAAACTGTTGAAGTTGTCAAGGATTTCATTTTATATGGACTCACAATCAACACCCATGTAAACAGTACATGTTTCTTTGGGTAAATCTGCTGCAAAAGATCTCTTTAAAGTGTTAAAAAGTAAAGATAGCACTTTTTGTATGTGATTGTTCAGGTTTGGTGTCAGCTTAACTGGGTCCATGTTCTCAGTGGTTTGAGAGTTGATATATAGTTTTACCCTATGATGAGATCTAATGTAATTACCTCTATGATGAGATCTGCTATGAGCAGCCAATCATTTCAAATGAAGTACCCTTGGGGGCTGCTTCTTATGTGTTGGACACTCCAGCAAAGTTAGCTTACTTTTTTCTGGGTCTAGATCTTACGTCTGGCTTGCCATCAGACCTCCAGTTCTTGGGTTTGAGTCAGTGGCCTGTTCAATCACCTGCCAACACTGGGTATCTTCAGCAGCTTGACATCTTAACAGCCTAGCTGTCTTCTGGCATCCTATCTTCACTGGACCAATGGACTTGGGAAATGCCCACCTCTATAGCTGAGTAAGCCATTTCCTTGATATAAACTTCTGTGTTGTTAGGTGCTGTCCAGTTGGTTCCAACTCATAG